GGTGCCAGGTACTCCACGGCCCGGCACCAGTCCGCGGACCGGGGGTTGGGGACCACTGATCTATAGGGCTCCTTGCAGTGGCGAGTTCCGTATTCCGTTCCAAGCGGTATGGCCCCGGCATCACCCACATGGATGCGCACAGCACGCGCATAATTGGACTTGCCTGTGATGCTTCCGCAAACCTCCGCGATGCTCTAGCAGGTGCCGTATGCGCCATGCGAGTGCGCGTTAGAGCCAAAAGCTTAAAGCACAGGTAAGGAGCTCGGGCGGGCGGGCCCTCCGGGGCACCATACCGGAACGGTACCTGGTGCTCCAGGCAGGATCCGGTATGCTCGTACCAGGGCATACCGCCTGCAACCCACCACTGGCTCCTTGGAACACTCTACTCAAGACCTGGGCAACAGCCAGGGTTTTAATGACTTGTGGAATACATCAATGCTTATCTTGTAGCTGATTCCGTTATAATCTTGATGGTTGGGCCCAAAATATACAATTTACTTTTTAGATTACTGCCAACAGTATGTAAAAGGTGTCCAGGTATCAATGATTCCCAGCCTGTGATCTTATTATAAAGGTAAAGGTTTTCTCTTTCCAGTCATGTCCAACTGGAAACTAAACTGGATCTTATTATAGGCAAGTCAATAATAGTCTGTGAGCGTTATTACCCTTCCTATGCAGGTGGGTATATTATCATAATTATTTCATTTACTATTTCATAGTAACTTTGGGGTGGGGGTGGGGCAAATGTATGCCAGTGACCTATTTGTGAATTCTCATAAGGTTTTGGTGATAATGAAGAGGTCCTCACAAAGGAACAGATTGGGATGTTATATTTTTGTTATTTGATTGCTGAGTTGGGCTGTTGATAGGAACCACTAAAATTAAATTTAATCATATCTTACTGCTGCAGTTCCTAAACTGTGTTGCTGCACCCCAGGGTTTATGTTACTACTTAATAAATGTGATTGTCCTAACGATCCCACAAAGATACTAAGGATGCCCAAGTGAATTTGAGAACATCATTTTCATTAAATCAATTTACTTGTTCAGCTTTGTCCGGGATCCATTAAGTTAAATTATGCCTGGCTGATTTTTGACTCAGTATGTTATGTACAATTACAAAGTATACAATTATACCTACAAAATACACTACTTTTGAACTTTTAGAAGCATTTTGCATTAGAGTGCAACAATTAGTCTTTGATGTTTATGTCCAAAAGCCTTTATGTATTATTTAGATAAGTTCTAACTTGAAATCAGAATATTATACTAGTCTTTCATAACATGAGTATTATGGGAGTTAAGGTCCAACACACATGAAGATAACATTGGATAATTTATTGGTTTATGGTTCTCTACTTTTTGGATTAACTTTCCTTAGAACATACATGGCTTGTGAAAAACATAAAGCCTACTTCACATACCTTGTTAAAGCAAGAATTAAATACTTTATAACTTAAATTCCATTCAAACAATACATTCATATACTGTATAAATCTCAAGGGGTTGTGCAGCCTGAATTTAAAAAAATGCACATCCAAAAGAAAACAAAACAGATTTTTAATATTAGAAGTACCAAGTACTTGGATAGCTGGAGAAGTCTGATCTATAAATACCATTTTTCAGAGATTACGCTTACAGAGTTTGTAAGAACTATACTAACATGCCTGTTGTTTAATATTTAATATAAATGCATACAAACAACTGGAATGAATTAGCCTCAAATTCTGTAAGACCCTACAGTTAAAATGTTATTTTTGCAAAAGGGGGGGGGTCTGTCCTCACTATATGTTTTTTAAGAATATACCAAGGGATGACATGTTTGCTATTTATGTGAATTTTAGAGATGTAATCAGTTAATGTAAATGTTATTCTTGCACTTAGTGGTTAAATTGGAAGTTTCATCTGAGCATTCTTGAAAAACTATAAAAATAATATTTCTTCATATAAGATATAGACATTACACAATATACATAATGTACATGTGTATTATATATACACATTACATACTATACACAATATACATTGCAATTTAAATGTTATCTCTTTAAAAATTTGGCACAACAGTTTGTTCAAAAGTACACTTTAAGAAAAAAAGTCTTTGCCCAAGCCTTTATGACCATGGAGATATACCAGGCTGTTTCTATTAGGATAGCTGTCTTCCTAAGGGTTCAGCTCTTGGCAGTTATTACACTTTCTACAATAGTCTTCAATGCAATCTAAGGTGCTGCAGCCAAGAAAATGCAGAGGAAGTGTACAACATCTCATGAGAACAGAAATTATTTCTAATTGCACACAGGAATTATTTGTACCCTAGGCACAGAATGCAGGAAGAATCAATAAAATCTACCCCATCTGAATAATAATAATAACAACAACAACAACAATCATCATCATCATTGCCTTGGGTGCAGTCCCAAAACAACTGGAACACCACTTGAACACCATAGGCATTGACAAATTTGCCATCAGTCAATTGCAGAAGGTGGCTTTACTTGGAACTGCTTCCATCCTGCGACGATATCTGTAACACCATCAAACATCCAGATTCGCCTATCCCAGGTCCTTGGTAAGGACTCGATAGGTAGACAAAAATGCCAAACCCAGACTGAACATCTGGCTGACTGCGATGGTTAATAATAATATATCCTTACTTATTCCTTCTAAAGTAGCATTTTCCATTAAAACTTTATATTGGAATTAATGAAACTCTCAACAGCATTAAAAGTCAGAACCAGATTTACACTTCTGAGACATAAACCACCATCCATTGAATAAAGATAAAATTCCTGAAAGATTTATCAGTGCTTATTGCACATTTAGATAATAGCAGTTTATACCATTTATTTTGCCATTTCTTTATTTAACATGACTATCTTGATTTAAATGTAAATATAAAAATGAACTATTTTATGTATACTATTTCTAAAGCATTTAATTTGTATGGCTTCTAAAATTTTATTTACATATATGGAAGTGCAAGTTTTCAGATTAAAACTACACACAAATGGTATTTACACACACATACATATACATATATTTATATTAATATTAAGACTGAAACTTATGGAGAATATATTTTATGTTCATGTCATAAAATAATGCATATAGTTAGTCCCAAGTTATATAAATTAGGGGTCCCCAACCTCTGGGCCGCAGCCCGTTTAAAACTGGGCTGTGGGATAAATGGGCAAGCCCATGTGTGAGAAGCACCACTTGCGAGAGCAGACAGCACTTGCCCTCACGAAGCTCCACTTGACTGGAGCTTCCAGAGCGAGACCAAGCACCCTCTGCTCATACAAGTGGAGCTTCATAGGCAAACACAAGCAGTTGTGGCGCCAGGCCGCCAAGCTGGAAAGATTGGAGACCAGTGATATAAACAGAGGAATACATGAATTCTGATATAAAAGTTTGACCAAATTATTGCATCAATTTATTAGCATGCAATATCTATGAATACCTGAATGTTGGGTATGAACAATCAGCAATCTTAAACATTTAAACAATATGGACTTGCTATGACTGATTTCATAACCCTTTTATTATAAATATAAAGCTACAGACTATCGAAATTTACTTGAAGGCAAACAGAATAAATTCCAACTTGCTTTCCAATTTGTATGTCTGTATTTTTTGTGTCATCCAACAAATTACTGTTTCTTTCAATTTCAAAAGCTAACATTCAATATGCTAATAATACAAGTCAAAAGTCACATCTATATGTAACTGATACTATTATAAGATCACCAGAGAAACATTTTCAATATTGAAAACAAATACCAATGATGGTTTTTAAATTCTGCTTCACAGTAGGAATGAAAGAACCATATTTGTTGTAAAAAGGACAAAATAATCCTACCTTGGTTTTTTTAAAATGTACCCATCAAATTTAGAACGACTTAAAAACCAGATATTATCATCAAGTAGAAAGAAGCAACTTTCTCAATATTAAATGGGTCTTTTAAAAATATAGTTTACTATAGTTGCTCAATTAAGTAATTGGGGGAGTTAAGTGCACTTTTACAAGAATGCCTCTTCTTAGACAATAGTGTAGTCTTCCAACTCATTTTCTTGGTCATTTGAACATCCGGTCTCTATTTTTTTATGTATCTGGGACCCAAAAGTCATGGATCTGACCCTATAATAAAAGATTGTCAAAGGAATTAGATGGAAAGATATAAACATTTGAAATAGATTTGATAGAAAAACTAACTAGTAGAAAATTATTGACATATCAACACAGCTTTAAAATCAATTTAATTGGTCTAAATCCAATACTGCATATCCCTTTACTCCATTCCCGGGTTATTATACTGCTTCTACTTCTTAAGAGGCAAAACAATTTCTTTCCAGAAAGTTTTATTTCTATGCCATTATTGATAATATGTAATATTTTGTATGAAAATATATTATACCATACCTGAATAAGCTGAGAACTGTGTATCATTTGCTGCCATTTGCTGTATGTTCTAGCAACTAAGTCTTTTACCTAGAGACAGAAAGTTAGGAACTGGTTGGAAGATGAAGTGATGACTATTGCTGCTGGTCTACATTACTTTGGAGTGTTAGGAATATAACAGGACTTACTTTGGAAGAAATAAGGACAGAATTTTATTACAAATTTAAAGACAGAGCATTCTACACAAGTAGGACGCAGGGCAAGTCTCGTGCCCAGGACTTTGAGCAAAGTAGCATTTGCAAGTTAACAGAATATGTTGGTGTTATGAAGGTAGACCTTGACCTGCAACCACTCAGGTTGCAGATGGTGCTGAATGAATGGTGGCTACAACCAGTCCTCAGTGTTCTGGCTATCCCAGCACCCCTGCAATCACATAATTGTGACCTGGGTGCTTGGCAACACATCATATTTATGACCTGTTACAATGCCTCATGATCATATGATTGCCATTTGCATCCTTCCTGCTGACCTCCCTAGAAAGTTAAATAGAAAGTTGGCATAGAAGACTGTAGGTTGCTGGGGTAAGTCTTTCCCCCACCATGCATCTTTCTCCAGCCCCTCTTTGTTCATGCTGGACCAGCCATTCATGCACCCTTTCTGCTCATCTCTTTCTCACCATCCCTGGCTTGTACCTCTCATGCACCCATTCATACACCCTTCCCCAACCCTCTCTTGCATTCCTGCATCCCTTCCCACAGCCCTGTGTTGTGCCTCTCATACATTCCCCCAAACCCTTGTGTACCTCCCCTGCATCCTGGTACTCTTCCATCCAATAGCAGCCATTTATCTGGCTTGGGACTTGCAACCTCCTGCTGGTTCTCTCATTGACTTTGATCATAGGAAGCCAGTAGGAAGTTGCCTTACCTAATAACAATGGGATTTGGTTATCAATGGCAACCAGAACTGAAGGAATTGCCATCACTAAGCAATGTAGTCATACTTTATTACTTAAAGTTGTAACTTATTGTGAAACTCTGGTTCCAATATCTGTCATTAAGTTGAGGACTTCCTATACCTTGTGAAATTAAGAGTTGCTTCTAATATTCTGGATACATTTCTGTTAAATACCCTTTCCATCAATATTATAGACCAGCAATGGCTAACCATGTGCTGACCTGTGTGCCAGAAATTGCACACAAAACCATCCCGCTTGGACTGCGCAGCCTCCCTGGCCTTCGTATGCACAGGAGCACCGAATTCTGAAAGAGCAGCATTCTGTCATGCATGCGTGCGCTGGCACTCGAACTTCCAGTTTCCGGCACGAGCCCGATGAACAGCTGGCCGTCACGCATGTGCATGACAGAAACCTGGAAGTTCAGGTGCCAGCATTCACACCAGAACACTGCTCTTCCGGGTTTCGGTGCTCCCACATGCACAAAGGCCAGCTGACTGGCGAGCGTGTGTGCACAGGAATGCGGAAGAGGAGCCAGCGAGGCCGCGCATCTCACGTGGGATGGCTCTCCATGCTGCTTCTGGCATGTGTGCCATAGGTTATAGACCATAAATGGAACCAGTAACACAATGTTCTAATACAAAGGTATGTTTTTTCCACTCTCATTTGGATGAGATAGAAGGAAACTATTTGCAAACTTGTCTTCTCAGAATTCTCAGAAAGAACTGAAGAACAGAACAGAAAGAAGATTCTCAGTAGGAACTGGTACAAAGGCTTCAGAGCCCACAGTTAAGAACGATCAAAGAATGTGTTTGCGCTGATCAAGGTAAATTGTTATAATGGTAAAGAGGAATTTTAAAAGACAAGAGGATATAGTGCATATCTTCCAGGATGAGAAAAGAAATGGCAAACTCACCTTAGTTCTGTAAAACAGTCTGACGTCTTCCCTAATATCACACTTTACATGTTTTTCTAGGGTGCTACAGAGTTTCAACAGCCATTTCTAAAAGGACATTAAAGATTAAGTTAGGTTATTTCAACCAATTGTTGTTATGGTTTGTAAGTGTAAATTATATTAACATTTTGTCCAAAATTTGTAAAGCTGCAGTATACGTCACATTTTTAGTGCTTTGTAATGTAATCATGTCACAGATGAGTACAAATTACTTAGGAATTTCTATTGTCTTTCCACTTCTAAAAATCCCCAACCCTAAATGGCTTAGATGTTGGCTGGGTAAACAACTGTCTACCCCAATACAGGTAACCCCCCCCTTCCTGGACGGAGAAGGGGGGTCAGAACAGGTCACTAAACAAATGGTTGTAAGTTGAGGACTAACTTGCACGTATCAGACTGGACATTGTAGTTGAGTTCTCTTATATTACTCATAAAGTATAGGATGTACTATTTTTGGAACTGTGTTCCTATTTGCCCACATAAGGAAAGGAATCAAGAATTTCTGCAGGCTTCTTCTGTTTGAGCTAGTATATTGTGGTGTTAGTTTATGATATGACTTTTCCATCACGGTGGAAGCAAAAATGAATTAAAATAATATTGATAAATATTAACAGTAAATAACTTCCTGACAAATTGACCATGGCTTACCTGAAGGGTCATTCTGTGTGCAGGAGAGTCCAAGCATGGGTTAAATTAGTCTGGTTGCCCAAAGACTGAGTTCAAATTCTTTGGCCATGCCTCCTGCTCCTCCTTAAGGCTAGTTTTTTAACGATTCCTGGATCCGGAAGGTACGATGAGAGGGCAGGGAGATCGTCTGGTGTCCCCGAACCCTGGGCCCGCATGGTATTTGGGCGGGATTGGATTTACCAGTTGGAGCCCTCTCACAGCAGCCAATAGGGAGGAAAGTGTTCTCGCTGGAAACAGCACCCAAGCACGCCTAGGAAGGTGCAGCCGTGTGGTCTCCAAGCCTCGGCTGATTTCACTTTCGCTGCTATTGGAGGCAGAGACTGCACAGTAATGTCTGATGGAGAGGTGGAGGATCCAAGGAATGACCATGTGGTGGCCAAAACAACGCAGCCGCCCAGAAACAAAATTTAAGGCTTGGGTGGTAGCAGCGCTGCCGGCGACCCGGACAACAGCCACACACCACCCGGCAGCGATCTTCCAGGAGACAAGCAGCGCAGACAGGTGTCTCCAACAAAAGCGGGCAAAAGTGAAGGCTTATGATTGGCTGCCGCGCACAGAGGGGGGTGAATTCAAAATGGCAGCTGCAGCCGCACCAGCCGCAAAGAGGAAAAAAGCCTCCAGAGTCAGCTGGTTTAAATTTTGAGCAGGGGAAGCTGTCCGCAGCGCCAAACACCTGCAGCAATCCTCAGCTAGTCAAGCCTCCCTGCTTAAGGCACAGAAGCAATCACCGCCCGCCTGCCCACCCCCCAACAGCTTGCTCCTCACTCTCACCTCCGTAGCTCGATCCGATGCAGTCAAAGAAAGGGAGAAAATACACACAAAGAAAATAACAAGTTAAAACAATAAACCTATGCTCAATTTGGAGTCCAAGCTGAATTAAATCAAAACAGCTGAAGCTCACTTAAATTCGTCCTGAATGGGCCAGACTGAGTTAAAAAACTGGCCTTAATGAGGAACAGGAGGCGTGGCCAAAGAATTTGAACTCAGTCCTTGGCCAACCAGACTAATTTAACCCATGCTTGGACTCTCCAAGCAGCACACAGGAGATCATTTAAACTTTTCAAGCCACAGGAAATATTTCTCCCAAAGCTTCTATCTAAAACCTGAAATCAGACAGGCTTGGAGAAAAGCAAGTAACAAAACATTTGAAAGGGACACAACCCGATATATGGGAGCATCTAAGAGGCACTTCATTATGGATTATTAAAGCAGCCATATCATTTCCAAAGCTACCATAGCTGCATTAGAAATTGTGGACTCCTTTTGTGTTCTCTGAACATGGTTGTTTGTTTGTAGACATTTCATTAGGCAACTAGGTAACATAATCAGTGCTAGTGAGTAAGGAGTACAGAATAGAAGATCAGTGACTGCAGTCTGATCACTATTATATTTTTATGAAAGTATGAAGAAGTATCAACAAGCGATTTAATTCAAGTCCTAAAATGGGTTGCAATTATGACCATATTTTAAGTACTCCATATAAAATTAGCTGGAGATCCATAACTGGATCTTCACCAATTGTCATAAAGCAGCTTTTATACAAGTCATTTTTTTCTTAATAAAGTATTGTCTACGGAAACTTCAGCATTAAAGATTATAGCTGCATGTATGAAATGGGAATCTGTTATTTATATGAATAATAGAACTGTAGTCAAAATTCATTGATTTCCAACCCCTCAGTACATGTATGTTCATGAAAAAAACTTGTACATGTTAATTAAAAAAATTGAGCAAATTACTTACTCTTTGATTGGAACTTGTATGCTCAAAATTGCTAGCTTCCCTAACCAAGTGGAGGAGGACATAAGTCAGATAATAGGCCTAGAAAAAAAAAGCAGGCAACATTTAGTAAAAATGGTTACTTAAAAGGCTACCAAGTTTCTGGGACTAAGAAACCCAACAGGCTTTTTTAGGTAGTTCAGCTTTTGAAGTGCTGAATTCATAAGGCTTACACACTTCAGATATTTCTCTCTTATTGCACATTAAACATCCATTAGACTTGAAAGGTATCCATGACAATTGTATGGGAAAACATAATTATATGTCAAACTCTCAACCATCTGCAAATAGTGTAAGAAAATTTATGTTTTTAAAAATACAGGTCATCCTTGACTGACTACGAATCTTTTAGTGATTGTTACAACGGCACTGAAAAAAGTGTCTTTATGACCAGTTGTAACCATTGCAGCATCTCCGTGATCATGTGATCAAAATTTAGGTACTTGTCCACTGGCATGCATTTATGACCGTTGCAGTGTCCTATGGCCATTTGATCATTTCTAACTTTCCCAGCTGGCTTCCCACAAGCAAAGTCAATGGCCAGACTCACTTAACAACTGCATGGTTTACTTAACAACTGTCTCACTTAGCAACAGGAATTTTGGATTCAATAGTGGTCATACGTCAAGGATTACCTGTATGTTTATATTTTAAAAAAGAAGAATTTTGTTTTTTTAAAAAGCCTTTACGCATTGTGGGTTCCCACCCTATTGCCAGCCACTCTGCTGCTTGCATATTGGGATTGCATGTCAGGCTCTTTGGCAGTTGCCAAAGTTCTCAAAAGGAGAATAATCTTTTTCCCAAACCTGAATCACACAGAGTTTTCTTAACAGGTTTTATTGAAGTGAAAGAAAAAGGGTTACAAGAATCAGAACTAAACAATATATCTCCCACCCCTCCTCTCTCCACACACACGAAGCAATCTTTTCCACTAAATAAAAGAGGAACTAAGAAATTTTTTGATTAACCATGATCAGAGAACTTCACTTTTAATATCAACACTTAGCTTTTAATATCAACACTTATACATTACTCCTTTTCAGTGAAGGAATTTTCTCAAATTGAGTCCATTAACATTACCCATATTCACTCTGCTGCACATAGAATAGCAACTTGGTTATGTGACCTCATGAAACATGAGCATCTCTAATATCCCCAAGAGCCACAAATATAGTTTAGACAGCATACCTTGTCTAACCCTACTTTAAAAAAAACACATATTACCTGGTGCTCAGATTCAGAAAGAAAAGGCTCTGTAACACCATCATGATGACCTGAAGTTTCTGACAGCCTCTTTAACAGACCTGAAGGTTTCATCTTCACAAGCTCCTTACAAAGTAGTGACATCTATTGGGAGATTAGAGTGCAATACGGTTCACATTATGGAGTTTTTTCAACCTTGAGAAGAATTATCTTAAATCATTTTAGGAACTAAAACACTGCAGTAGGAGCAGGAGTAGGAGGCAGTTTTCTCAAAATCTTTATGCATGCAGCTTCTGAAACCCTGATGCCAGGAATAAAATAGAAGGGACTATCACAGCAAGAAAAATCAAGCTCTATAAAAAAAAAAGCAGCTCTGAACTGATATAAAGTAGATGAAGATTATACTTCCCTTTATCTAAATTTTGAAAACATCCAGATGATACATTAGAATTTAAACACCAACCTTGAACAAACTATGTTTACACGTTTAAATAAAAAAAAGAATAAAAAAATATAGTGCTGTGGCCATATTTAGTCAAGGAAGAAATTTGGATGCAGCTGACAATGTCTCTTCCACTTGATAACTAATCTCTCCCTTAGCACAGTTGTCCTTGACATTTTCCTGTTTCTTTCTCTTTAGCTTACTTTCTGTTTCTACCATTGCCATTGTTTTGTCTAGGTCTAGTTCCTCTATCTGTTCCCTGATTATTTTTGTGTGCGCCTAAATTGCTGACTTGCCTTTCTCCATAATCTCTGCCTTTTGCAGAGACCCATTCTAAATGCTGTGACTTCTTACATCTTGCACTCATTCTATATAATAGCATAATAAGATGCAGCTTTGGGGAGGACTTGCGCTGCAGAAGTGAATATAGAATGGAGTCCATAACACCAAGGATAGGAAAAATTAAACAATTAGCAAATTAAAATATATTATGTAGATTATAAAAAATAAAAATGATGTCTCATCCATTTTCTGGTGTAACTTTCAATTTGCTATGCAATAGGGGGTGCAGCTCTCAAGTACATAAGGGCTGCACACCACTAAAAGAGAAGTAATTTTTTTACAAAGAAATGGAAGGAACATGAATTAGCAGGATGGCGAGATTACTAATGTGAATTTATGCTCTGCTTATTAGATCCATGCACTGATTCAACCCTGAGCTGTAGACTAACCTAGGAAGTTAAAAAAACATCCAGAAGAAGGCCAACTAAATTATCTCCATAGCGTGACAAGAAGGCTACATGCTCATTTTTAAGCAACTGAGTTAGATTCCTAGAAGACTTACACAAACACAGACAAATTCAAAAAATATAATTAAAAAAGCTCCCTTCACTGAGAAAACAAATCTTAACTCCAGCAAACTATTGTTCTAATGAAAAAATATATACTCTACCTGATGATCATGACTTCTGGGTATTTTCACATGGCTTTTAAGAAGTTTTGAGATTATTACCAAGCTAAGATGTCGTCTTATTTGTCTAGAAGAATAAAATTAACATAAATATGTGAGTGATTATAATTTGGTGCTTTTGGTATGAATTCTGATAGGCATACTAAGTGGTATTGTCTTAAAAGTTTACCTTCCACGAATTGTCCAATTGGGGACAAACTGAACAAGCCACAACAGATTATGATGGTGGTTGGACAGACAACTTATTGCCAAGGATAATTGGGGCATCTTTTTAAAAGAGAAAGACAAATTTGTTAATAGAATTTGAAAGCAATTGCTAAATTCCGTATCAGTACGTATCCAATTGTTAGACAATACATATAAATATTTATTACATTTAAAGACTATTCATAGCATGTGATTGATAGGTATTGGCTTATTACATTAATATTTCTTAATATTTCATATTTATTGAAAAAATAAAATATGACTATCAGAACCACAGCTTAAAATGCTCCCTTTATGCAAAAATATTTCTATTTAAGGCATCTAGCAGCAGTTACCGATAATGGTTTTACTATATTTTCTTAGATATATCAGTTCCATAAAACATAATTAAACCCAGACTATATTTGCACTTAACATAAAACTAGACTTTTTAACATCTTTTGCAGATGACCAAAATAATTATAGCTTTTACAGATTATTTCTAGATTTTTTTATTATTCTTAAACCAGAAACCCAGTCTGCATAACTTTTAAAATTATTTTTAATAAAAAAATAAATTGTGGTTTCTTTTGGGCAGGTTTGCCCACTGTGGTAACACAAAGTGAGCAGGTAGTATATACATACGCATTACAGCATATACCGTATTTTTCGGAGTATAAGACACACTTTTTTTCCTCTACAGAGGCTGAAAATCTGGGTGCGTCTTATACACTGAATATAACAATTTTTTTGCCTCCCGAAACCCCGCCCGCTTCACTAAAATGGCCGTGCATACCCTTACGGAAGCTTTCAGAGAGTTCCTGAGGGCTGGGGAGGGCAGAAATTAGCAAAAAATGGGCGGTTTTTTNCTGGGTGGGGAAAACCGGGAAGCTTTCAGATTTGGGTTTTCCCAGATGTGCCAACATGACTCTCTTAATAAATTGGAACTTTGAGCAATACTTTGGCTTGGACTCTGATTTAATTTTGAATGTTATTTGGAACCCTGACAGCAGTATTTGTGTATGTACATTCTGAATATATCCTTGATTCTAGTGAACTTTTTAAAGATAGCAATATATTATATAAAGGATTTAAAAAAAAAAACCTTTAACATTTTATTATATTAAATTCTTGCCAATTTTCTCTATCTTAGGAAAATGTTTTCCTGTGCACTTTGAACTACTTTTGCAAGGAAAATTCCAGCTGCTACTAATGATTTTCAGTTGAAGAAGCCTTATTCTTATACTCAACAGATGACTTTTAAAAGCAAAGCACCATTCTTACCTTTGTTATATTGCAAAGATTGCTCTCTATTAGAAGAAAGAAAGCTGTTGGGTTTATACAGATGTCTCTTTTTGATTGTTTATTCACAGTTACATGCATTTTAGACCTGGTTAAAAAAAAGACTTGTTTCCATACAGTTTACTACGTATTTTAAATTACATATATTCATTTCCACATGTAACCTATTATGAAAAGATAACCTAGAAAGAACATTCTATATTTTAAAATTTCAAAACTAATAATTTTATTGCATAATGTGGTAGGTAGGAGGACCATACTGTAACAAGTCTCAGAGCCATGGCAATCTGAGTTTTAGTAAAATCGCAAAAACAAAGGCTTAAGTCAGGATTGTTCAATCTTTTGTCTTGCCTGTGCTGCGTCGACAAAAGAGGAATTCTGTGTCTGTGTGTACACACAACAGAAGTGGGAGTTTTTTTCAGCACAAAGCTCATAATTGGACTTTGACTGACATGCTGGGAAACCCACTACTAAAAGTAGGGTGCGCCAGGACACAAACTAATACCCAGACTGTGGGGGCGATATGCTGACTCTGTAAACCGCTTAGAGAGGGCTAAAAGCCCTATGAAGCGCTATATAAGTCTAACTGCTATTGCTACTGCTATTTTACTTAATTCACATTTACATTTAATTAAAATTTATTTATTTAACTGCAATTAATAGAAGTATTCCAAATTATTAGAGATTTTGCATCACATGAAAAAATATTAATTGGTGGCAAATTTTTGGACAGATTGCATACTTCAGATTATAACCTTTTGCCAAATACTTACATAATATCATTTTCAGTAAAGCGAGGCTGAAAATGTTGCAAAGGAAACAACACACTGAAGGAAATACCCATATTGAGTAACACAGTTGTTATATCAAATAATGATGGAATCCATGGCTTGTGTTTGTCATTCTTATCAGCAACTGCAGAGAGAAAAAAGTGACAATTTTCTCTTCAAGTCAGAGAAACTGGAGTTCACTTAAGAATAGCTATGTAATTTTTTTAT